ATCCTTCCCCTGCCACGCCCACCAAGCCATGCCCACAGAACCAGTAGTAAAAAAAAATGAATTTCAACACGGGAGGGGTGTGTGACCAGCTGGACACCACTTGTCACGGGTGCACCTGTGGTTGTCGGAGTGCTCTGCTAGCGAAAACAGGCACCCGAGCTCTGTTTTCAGCTGTGATGGCCTCCTACATTCCTCTGCCAGCGAAAATAGAGCTTGGGAGGGCTGTCCATGGCCCTCATGAGCTCCATTTTCGCTGGCAGAGGAACCTCCTCTGTTTTCAGGGCAGCCCTGCGGGCCAGATCTAAGCACCCCGCTGGACGGATGCAGCCCACGAGCCTTGAGTTTGACACTCCTGTACTATATGAACCACATGCCAGAATTTTCAGAAATCAGCCTGCAAAATGGAGCATTTGGGGAGTTGAAATCTATGCACTGGAAGTTGCCAAAGTAGTGAGCAGAATACAATGCAATGGTACCTCGGTATTCATTAATTGGTTCTGGGAGGCGCAATGAGTACTAAAAACGAGTGCCAAACCACGTGACATACCATGTGACTTTGTTTCATCTGGGAAGGACTTCCTATCTGTCCTTTTTCCTATGTTAGCGGTTTTCCCACCATGGCCGATTTCCTGTCAGTCCTCCCCGTCCTGTCCCCCTTTTCTTTTTTGCTGCGAATTTCCGGCATGGCCGACTTCCTGTCCGTTCCCTACGGCTGTTCCCCTTTTCCTATCGCAGTGGGTCAAGTATCAAGCAAACAACGAGTACAGGGCAATATTTTGGCGTCATGTATCAAATTCGACGAGTTTTGAAGCAGTCGAGTATTGAGCTACCACTATAACAGGCTATGCAAAGAAAGTTGTTTAGTTGAACAAATAGTTGTCTGGTCTCTAATAGAAAGGACTAAACTAAAAATAAAGGGCAGATATTGTCAAGATAATGCCACATTTTCAAATATCACAACTCCATGAGAGTAATTCAGGTGGGTTTGATTGATTGCTTATTTATTTATTTGTTTGTTTGTTTATTTATTACGCCCCTGATCTCTCTATCAGGCACCTCTTTTTTCATGGAGATTGTAATGCCATGTTTTGTTTTTCTTTCCGTAGAGCAACCTTTACAAACCGGTGCCTTTAAGACTTATTTAGGATACAACTTTCTCTGCTCCCCGCCCCCCCTTTTTCAATCTGAAGTGAGAAATCATATGAACCAAGGTTTTGAGTGGCTTGCAAGGGTCTCATTCACCCAAAATGGCTGAGGTCAGATCAGGTGAAATTGGACAAAAGCAAATAGGGTGAAATGTGATTAAATTGAATTAAAAGTAACAACTGAATACGTACCATCCCTATGCGGATTCCCTGTATATTTAACAGTTTTCATCTTTTCTCATGTAAAAAGTACTTTTCAGTAGCAGCATTGGCCAAGTGATGAGGAAATGTACCAGAAGTCTTAAAATGGACAGGACCTCTTGTTGAGATTCTCCGTCATCCAGGTCATGGTTGTCCTAAAGGTGCTTTTTTCAAGAGGCAACTGGACTTTCTGGTTTCTTCTTTGAAGACGTTTTACTTCTCCAAGAAGCTTCTTCAGTTCCATCTTCAAGGGAAAAGAAAGTCCAGTTCTTTTTTGAAAAAAAGCATCTTTGGATCAGGAGATCAATCTTCTTGTTGCTAAGCTGAGGACTGCAAAGTGGATAGATACATATATGAAATGTGGGCAGGATTGTGTGAAAATGTCAGCTATTCCTTTCATGGTGCAGCCATTATTGGAGATTTGTGTAGGAGAAAGATAGGCAGCGACTGGGAACAGAGTCAAGCAAGTGACTAGCCTAGATTTGTTACATTCCCACAACCGGTCTAAAATTCCCACAAATAGTCCAACCTCTCTTGAATTCTATTGACTGTTACCTAGCAGCAATTTAGTGCTGATGTTTAGTTGACCAGATGTATAGGCATCTATCTATCTTCTATCTATCTATCTATCTATCTATCTATCTATCTATCTATCTATCTATCTATCTATCTATCTATCTATCTNGGGACGTGGCAGGCCTGGGTCGATGCCGGTTCCAGCGACCCAGGCCACCAAACTACTACCGGTTCAGCTGAACCAGTCTGAACCGGTAGGAGTCCACCTCTGGTGTTACTGAAGAAAGCATCATGGTCCAATCTGGTGCGTAAACTCCCTTGTAGTTTGATCCTAGGAGTAGAGTCGATGAAGAAAGAGCGTTGCAATGTCATTTGACTCGGGCTTTCTGTTGATTGACATCCTGTCAGTTGGATGGAACCAGGATAAATTCAACATGGAATTTCATAACATTTAATACTATTGGTGAGATCCTTCCGCAGGAATTTAATCGCTTTCCTCTTCTGTCGCTTTAAACATTTCACTTTTGTCAGTAAATTTCGAAAGGATTGTAGCATGCAACCAAAATACAATTGCAGATTGTATAGGCAGGATTAGAAGAATAAGGGATTCAGTAAACAGCTGAAGAGCTGAATGCTGAGAGCTACTGCGTGGTTCCTTGAAATTGTTTGATGTAATGGAATAAGGTAATGATAATGATTATCATATTGATGTATTCTCATTGTTTATTTCATTGTTTATTTTATTGTTCTCTTATTTTCCTTCAGTTTATGCGCTTTTCATGTCTTCCTTTTTATTGCTGTAAGCTGCCTAAAAGTTCCTGTTTTTTTTTAAAAAAACTTCCTTTTTTGGCGAAATATGTAACTTCCAGGTTAAATTGGTTCAAAGGTATGCCACTTTAGATCTCAGCTCTGATTTAGAGTTCAATCAAAGAGCCACTTTGATGCCACTAATGGTTAAGGTACCAGCCTAGAAAGCAGGAAACTCTGAGTTCAAATCCTGCTTTAGCTATGAAAACCAGCTGGGTGACTTTGGGCCTATCACCAGGAGACGGTGAGTTCTAGTCCCACCTTAGGCAGGAAAGCCGGCTGGGTGACTTTAGCTCAATCGCCAGGAGATAGTGAATTGTAGTCCTGCCTTAGTGTGATGACCCGGGGTGTGGCATGAAAGCAACACAGCCAGAGAACAGGTCTAACTCCTCTTTGTTGCTCCAACTTTGCCCCCAAACATCCCCACGTTTACTACAAGTACTGGAGCAAAGCTGTTTCATGCACCTTCAGCAGCTTCTTTCTGTGAGCAGTCCAATAAATAAAGTTAGCCAAACAGTAACCAGAGCAAGAAGTTCAGCAAAGCAGGCGAACCGGCCAAGCCCCACAAGCCCAGTAATTTCCAGGTATCGACAAAGTGCACACGAGGCTCCACAGATTCAACGCTTGTTCCTGACAAATGCCCCTCCTTAAATCTCAGTCCCCAGGTGTGCCTTGTGAAGAGGAGCGGGGCACTCTCCTCCCTCATAGCCAGCTCAGTCTGCGTTGTTCTCACCTTCTCTCTTCTCTCCGTGCTCTAGGATCAGGAGTGGGTGGTCCTTGCTTTTCGCCTGAGCTCTGTCTCTCCTGCTCCTTCCCGAGTTTCCTCCAAGGCCAACGGAGCCGCCTTCTCGGTCTCTGTCGGCTTTTGTTTCAGTTGATCTTCCCCCGCAGATTCAGACTCCGATGGGGGCAGGACATTTAGGCAGGAAAGCTGGCGGGGTGACTCTGGGCCTATCACTACCAGGAGATTGTGAGTTCCCGTCCCGCCTTAGTAATGAAAGCCAGCTGGGTGACCTTGGGCCAGTCACTCTTTCTCCATCCAACCCATCTCATAGGGTTGTTGTTGTTGTTGTGGGGCAAATAGGGACGAGGAAGGTGGGATGCAAATAAATGAAATCCTCTCTTGTGCTCACTTTCCACAGAAGGGGCTGATAACATTCCAGGAAGTGTAACGTGGGAAGGGAAGGAGGAAAACACCATATATCTGAAGTGGCCGGAGCCGGTTAACCCCAATGGGTTGGTTTTGATGTATGAAATCAAATATGGACAAAATGGAGAGGTAAGGAGACTGATGACTTTGTTGGTATTACAGGCAGCCCTTGACTTAACAATCATTCACTCAGCGACTGTTCAAAGTTACAACATCACTGAAAAAAGGGGACTTAGAACCAGTATCCAACACTTGCAACCATTGCAACATCCGCTTGGTCATGTGATCAGAGTTTATAAGCTTGGCAACTGGCATGTACTTATGCAAGTTGTAGTGTCCTGTGGCCATGCGATCACCATCCATGACCTTCCAAGCTGGCTTCCAACACGCAAAACCTAATGAGGAAAGCCAAATTCCTTTAACAACCGTGCGGCTCACTTAACTGAGCGAGTCACTTAGCGACCACAGCAAAAGAGGTCAATAAAATCATACGTGGCTCCCCGAACAGCTGATTTGCTTAATGACGGAAATTCTGCTTCTAATTGGTTTTGTAAGTCAAAAAATTCCCTGTATTTGGTNATGATTTTGCAACCCAATTGTGTCGGGCTGGGCTGGGAGTTGGCAAATACAGCACCTGTGTGCATAGTGGCTTTCTGGAAGGAAAAACACTATTTTGCTTGCCTTTTTTTCCTTTTTCCTTTTTGGTTCGAGGCCCCTAGAGTCAGGAACGACTAGCACATATGTGCGAGGGGAACCTTTACATTTACTTTTATCCATCTGAATGCTGAATGCTATCAAAACTGGAGTGATTCCAGAATCTGGGGGCACTGGATGGCCAGACAGGAAACCCCAAATACTTTGCACCTTTTGGGGGTGGTGGTGTCCTTCTCTTATGAATCCTCTTGATTGATGAGGATTCAGTGGCAGTTTGCAGGCTCCATCAGAGGCTGTATAGGTAGACCTCCACTTACAATTCATTTAGTGACCATTCAAAGTTACAACGGGGCACTGGAAAAACTAACGTAGGAACATTTTTTCACACTTAAAGACCGTTTTGGCATCCCCATGGTCACATGATCAAAATTCAGACACTTGGCAACTGACATTTGTGGTGTCCCAGGGTCACATGATCCCCTTTTGCAACATCTCGGCAAGCAAAGTCAACGGGGAAGCCAGATTCATTTTACAACCAGGTTACCAACTTAACAACAGCAGCGATTCATTTAACAACTGTGGCAGGAAAAGGTCGTAAAATGGGGCAAAATTCACTTAACAAACATCCCACTAGTGAACGGTTATGGGAAGAAGGTATGCCTAGCCTGTAAGTGCCACAGTGGCGCAGTGGTTAGAGTGCAGTACTGCAGGCTACTTCTGCTGCAGTTCAAATCTCACCAAGCTCAAGGCTGAGTCAGCCTCCCATCCTTCCGAGATAGGTGAAATGGGGACCCAGATTGTTGAGGGCAAAGAGGACTCTGTAAACCGCTTAGAGAGGGCCGTAAAGCATTGTGAAGGGGTATATAAGTCTAAGTGCTATTGCTTGAGAAGGAAGGAAAGAAAGAAAGATGAGAAGGAAGGAATGGAAATGCGAAGGAAGGAAGGAAGCCATAGTGGTACAGTGGTTTGAATGCAGTATTACAGGCTGACTCTGTCAACTGCCAGCAGTTCGATCCTGATTGCCTCAAGGTTGAACTCAGCCTCCCATCCTTCCGAGGTGGGTAAAATGAGGACCTAGATTGTTGTGGACAAGAGGCTGACTCTGTAAACCCTTTAGAGAGGGCTGTAAAGCAGTGTGAAGGGGTATATAAGTCTTAAGTGCTATTGCTATTGAAAATAAGCATTAATGGGGACACGATAATTGTCTTCCAATATTTGAAGGTCTTTCACAGGGAAGAAGGGGTTGATCTATTCTCCCAAACATCTGAAGGCAGGTCAAGAAGCAATTGGTGTAAGCTTGTCAAAGAGAGACCCAACCTGGAACTAAGGAGAAACTCCCTGACAGTGAGAACCATTAATCGGTGGAATAGCTTGCCACATGGAGTTGTGAATATGCCCTCACCGGAGGCTTTCAAAGATAGAGTGGACCACCATTTGTCCAGGATGCGATCAGGACTCTTGCCTGGAGCAGGGGGTTGAAATAGAAGTCCTCCAAGGCCCCTTCAAGCCCAATGGGTCTATGACCTGGGCCTCTTGGTGTCATCCATGCTGAGCATTTGGTGCAGAAGGGGGGAAATGAGAGGGCGTTCTCGCCATCATATGGAATTGATTTTCAGTGACAAAGGGTTTTAATGGATGAACAGTTGTTCTTGGCGTTCATCCTTTTCAGTTTGCTTACTTGGGATCTCTGTTTCTTCTTAGCATATCAAAAAAAAAAAACCACCCTTCCAAAGTTGATGGCTGTTGGTAGTCTACTTCTGCCTGCCAGAATTTAATTGCCTCCAAAGCTGGGCACTGTGGAGAGGTGATAATTGTCCGATTAATCAACCCAGGGAAATATCCAATAGCATTTCATCATCTTGAATGAAGTTCTTCCTGAGGGCGGGAATAATATTTATTTATTTGCTTAAGGTCATTCGTATGCCACTTAATTGGCAAACTCCTAGGCGGCTTAGACTATAATATCTGCCTTGGTGACAGAATTATAGATGTTTATCCATCCGAACTGAGCCAAGAAAAGGCCAGGGATATGTAAAAATTGGGCTTGTATTGAGTGTTTTTGGAAAAACAACGGCGTGCATTTATGCTAAAACGTTGAGGCTTGCTGCAATATGTTGGGGTTAGATGTAGGGTTGGCCAGAATAGAAATAAAGAACAAATTTTGCAATATCAAAAAGCAAAAAGTGCACGGTTTGTATTTTCTGATCATAATTAAATTTAAAAATTTAGGTTTTGAGTCTACTTCCGTATTTTCCCGAAAATAAGACCTGGTCTTATTTTTTTAATATTTTTTTTGCCACCAAAAAAGGTGCCAGGTGTTATTTTGGGGGGATGTCTTCCACTGACTCACTTTGCAGTGGTGGCACCAACAGCCCCGCCCAGCAGGAGCCCACTGCTGGCCCACTTCCTCTGCGGCCACTTGCGTCAATCCGGAGCCCGTTTCTCGGCTGCAGAGGCCTTTCCCGAAGGCCTCTGACTGTATAACAAGGCCTGGAGTGACACGCACAAGCGGCTGTAAGCAGCTGCAGAAGAAGTGGGCTGGCAGGGGGAGGCAGGTGTCGTTGTGCGAGGCCTGGCTGCAACTATCCGAAGGTAAGTAGGGCAGCACCACACACACCCATTCCCCCCACCCAGCTTGATTTTTTTACCCATGTGCTTCGCCCCACCCTGTACACCTCGTAGTGAGGAGGGTCTTAACTAGGGCTTATTTTGGGATAGGGCTTATTTTCAGTGAAAGATGGCATTTTATCCCTTTGGATATTGGCTCATTTGGCAAGCCAATTGGTGTCGCCCTGATGCCATGGGCTCTGGCTTTCAAATGTTCACCTCTGCACAGAATCTTGAGCATTTGTTTTGCTGGGAAATCCCTGTACCGGTAGTCCTCAACTTAACAATGGTTTGTTTAACGACCATTCAGTTACAGCGGCACTGAAAAAAAATGTGACTTACGGCCGTTTTTCAAAGTTACACAAACTTTCCAGCATCCCTATGATCGTGTGATCAAAATTGGGATAGTTATCCAGATTCCCTTCACAATTGCAGCAATTGGCTTAACAACTGTGGCCAAAAAAAACCCCAGATTGTAAAAATCCGGCACAACTCACTGAACCTCCGTTCTGCTTAGCCACAGGAATCCCAGTCCTAATTGTGGTTGTAAGTTGAGGGCTATCCTGTTTCCCTGAAAATAAGTCCTCCCTGGATAATAAGCCCAATCGGTCTTTTGAGCGCATGCACTAAAATACCCCCCTCCCCAAATAAGCCCTCCCTGAAAATGTTGCAACACAGCAGAAGCCATGAGGGTACTACACTCGCCACATCCTACACCTCAAAAATAAGAAGACTTCCCCGAAAATAAGGCCAAGGGCTTATTTCTGGGGTCAAANAGAATTAAAAGTCCACAGGTTCATACTTCCTGAATGCTTATATAACACCCAGGCACGAACCCTTGACGGAGAATATTGGCCCCAAGCGATGGAATATCAGATATCAGGATAAGATCTTAACCCAGAGGTGTTTCTTGTAACAAAGGCAGAGAACGCAGTAGGGCAGGGTAGCTCACGTTTCAAGAAAAGAGGCTGGAAAGATTTAGCTAAAAGGTTGGTTATCTAGCTGGTTGTGACCATATTCCTGGTAATTATCGTGCTATGCTAGGTTTTTAAAAGTAAGATGTCCTTTCATTTAATTGTGTTGCTCTTAATGATGCGGTGGCTCAGTAGCCACGACGCTAAGCTTGATGATCGAAAGGTTGGCAGTTTGAATCCCTAGTCCCAGCTGGAAGTCCCAGCTAGCAGTTTGAAAGCACGTAAAAAATGCTGTTGTAAATCGAGGACATTACAATGGAACGTGGTGGCTCAGTGGCTAAGATGCTTGTCGATCAAAAAGGTCCCCAGTTCAGCGATTTGAATCCCTAGCTTCGTGTAGCAGAGTGAGCCCCCGTTACTTATCCCAGTAGTTCAAAAGCATGTAAAAATGCAAGTAGAAAAATAGGAACCACCTTTGGTGGGAAGGGAACAGCATTCGGTGTGCCTCTGGCGTTGAGTCATGCCGGCCACATGACCAAGGAGATGTCTTTGGACAGCGCTGGCTCTTCGGCTTTGAAACGGAGATGAGCACTGTCCCCTAGAGTCGGGAACGACTAGCACATATGTGCCAGGGGAACCTTTACCTTTAGTGCTTTGAGTCCCCATGATGATTAAGGCAATATGTCTCAACATTTGTAAACTCCAGAATTTCACAGCCATCATCGCCATCAGTGAGAATTTGAGGAGTTGAAGTCTATACGCCTGGAAGTTTTAAAAAGTTTGTGACATACTGGACCAAGGCCTAAATGTTGGGGGGGGGAGTTGGGGGGAGGGGGGCTTTATTTGCTGTTTGAGGTCATTTGTAAAGGCATCACCCTTTACATCAGGCCACCAGGATTTTGGTTTAATGCAATTTTGGAAACCCAACAACTGTTAAAGGAGAATATTTGTTGTTCAGGGTTTGAATTGTGGGTCCTTGGTGCTCTCTGAGCTTGGTTGTTCTCTTGCAGACGTTTCATTACCCAAATAGATAATGTCATCAGTGCTAGCCTGGAGCGGGGTGTGCTCTCAGTTTATATTCTAGTGGTCTGCCTTCTCAGCGTTGATGGAAGTGGTCTTGGAGTTTCTTTGGTTCGGCTATTGCTATTGGCTTGGGTATTGTTGACTGCTTGATTGATGGTCTGATTGTTAATCTTGGTGTTAATATATGCTCATTTGCAATCTCCACAACCATCCCCTCAACACTGAGAGGGCAAGACAGGGGTGAAATCCAGCAGGTTCCGGAGAAATTTTAGCTGACATTTTGAGTAGTTCAGAGAACCAGCAAATACCACCTCTGGCTGGCCCCAGAGTGGGGTGGGAATGGTGATTTTGCAATATCCTTCCCCTGCCATGCCCACCAAGCCACGCCCATAGAATGGGTAATAAAAAAATTGAATTTCACTACTGGGGCAAGCCACTAGAATATACGTAAATAGAAAGCAATTCCCCTTCCTTACTAGCACTGATGATGTTACCTAATTGGGTAATGAAACATCTACAAAAAAAAAAAAAAAACAACCAAGGACCCCTCAATCCAAAAATTGTTATTGTTTTATGTAGATTAAAAAAAAGATGTTGAGACTCTAGAAAAAATGCAGAGAAGAGAAGCCACGATGATTAGAGGACTGGAGGTTCAAACATAGGATGAACGGTTTAAGGAACTGGGCATGGCTAGTCTAGGGAAGAGAAGGACCAGGGGAGACATGATAGCAGTCTTCCAATATTTGAGGGGCTGCCTCGGAGAGGAGGGGCTCAAGCTATTCTCCAAAGCACCCAAAGGCCAGACAAGGAACAATGGATGGAAACTGAACAAGGAGAGGTTCAACCTGGAAATAAGGAGGAATTTTCTGACATGAAGAACAATCAACCCATGGAACAGAATTTCCTTTCAGAAGTTGTGGGAGCTTCATCACTGGAGGCTTTCAGGAAGAGATGTGGACTGCCATCTGTCAGGAATGGTGTAGGGTCTACTGGGTGGGGGTTGGACTAGATGACCTACAAGGTCCCTTCCAACTCTGTTAATCTGTATTTGCGTGTACATTTTAACTGCAGCTCCCCTTGTATTTATTATGACATTTTTGATACTAAAAACCTACATGAAACCACCCAGATTCGAAGTTCCAACAGTGGGGTCCCCCCTCAGAGTCAAGTGACCAAACTCCAGGCACTAAGCCACTGGGCCAGGGATGATGGGCTTTGTAATTCTGCCATGCAGAGAGACCTGCGTTAGGGAGCGAATCAGTTTCTGATTTGGTAAGGCTGTTTCCTGAGATTTTTGGTGAAGTCACTTCATGGAACTGGGCCATTTTGGGGGAAACAAAACAAGCAGAAAAACAGGTTTCTCTTTTTTTTCCACTGTCAAAAGTAAATCTTAAGAAGAGCATTTGTACAATGTTCTCTTTTGTTCTTTGGACATCTGTTTAAATCAAACCACGCAGCCTGCTGAAGGATCGGGTGTACCTTTTAGCACATTTTTTTTTTTTAATATTGTGAGTGAACATACACATATTGCCTTGCAAAATATTGTACAAGATTGCTCAGATTTTGTGCAATTGGGAGGAAAAACAACACAGGAAGACTCCTCCACTTACAACACTTCATTTAGTGACCGTTTGAACTTAACAACAGCACTGGGAAAAAAGTGACTTAAGATCATTTTTCACCCTTATGACCATTTTTCACGCCTATGAATGTTGCATCATCCCCATGCTGGGTGATTTACATTTGGATGCTTGACAACTGACTCACATTTATGATGGTTGCAGTGTCCCGGGGTCATGTGATCTGCTTTTGTGACCTCCTGACAAGCAAAGTCAATGGGGAAACCAGATTCACTTAACGACCGTGTTACTAATTTAAGAACTGCAGTGATTCACTTAACAAATGTGATGGGAAAAGTTGTGTTGTTGTTAGTTGTGAAGTCATGTCCGACCCATCGTGACCCCATGGACAACGTTCCTCCAGGCCTTCCTGTCCTCTACCATCCTCTGGAGTACATTTAAGCTCACATCGACTGCTTCAGTGATTCCATCCAGCCACCTCCTTCTCTGCCGTCCCCTTCTTCTTCTTTTGTCCTCCTTCGTTCCCAGCATGAAGCTCTTCTCCAGCGAGTCCTTCCTTCTCATTAGGTGGCCAAAGTCTTTGAGTTTCCTCTTCAGGATCTGGCCTTCTGAAGAGCAGTCAGGGTTGATCTCCTCTAGGACTGACCAGTTGGATGGCCTTGCAGTCCAAGGGACTCACAGGAGTCTTCTCCAGCTCCAGAGTTCAAAGGCCTCCATTCTTTGGTGCTCAGCCTTCTTTGTGGCCCAACCTTCACAGCCATCCATTGCAGCTGGGAAAACCATTATGGATGGGAAACCATCCGTAATGGAAAACCATCTGTCCATTACAAACACAAATTTTGGATGATGAATATCCC